TCTCTCTCTCGTCTCTCTCTCTCTCTCTCTCTCTCTCTCTCTCTCTCTCTCTCTCTCTCTCTCGGTTCAACTTGTGTAGGAGCTGGTTTTGTCTGCCTGATGGGTGGAGGGTCGGTCGGAAAAGTTCTTGACTGATGGGCAAGGAGTAAATCCATAGGGGGGTATAGGACAGTCCTAGGAAGCCTAGATTACTCAGGTACCTGTCTTGTCATCCTGACGCCGTAAAGTCACTACTCCTTTTTACTCAAATCATTCATACGGTTGACCCGGTCGCTGTCGGTACCGGCGCGGCCGGGGTGAGGTGATGAGTGAAAGAGACTGTCATGACCTTGCGCGGCTGCTACCCTAGTACTTGTTAGAGCAAGTTGAGCCTCCAGGTTCTCTTGGGCCCCCGAAGCTGGATCGCTGACTGGGCTTGAAGATGCGGGAGACCGTACAAGAACAGCATCACAGAGTGATCTTCAGTGCTCAACGGTTGTACGACGGTGTACATGACGACCAGCTGTGCGATGAGATTTCAACAATGGAGGAGGCTGGCAACGACTGAGAATTCTTGACTTCTATGTGATTGTGTTGCAAATGCACAGCCCGGCCACTGGGCGGCCAGTCTGGTTTGAGACTCCCGGCCGGTGGCAGCAACTCATCCCCACTGCTCATCCCCCTCATAACTCTGGTCATAGCGGGGATGAGACCATTACCTTGGCAGTGTGCCATGGTGTGGTGAAGGGATCCAAGAGCAGCGGAAGGAGGAGGAGGAGGAGGCAGAGGAAGCAGGAGGAGAAGGGCAAGGAGCGACGTGAGCTGCTGCAAGACTACTAGCCACCTCAACATGAGTTCGATGTCTGCAAGGAAGACCCCGCTCCTGGCCATGGTGGTCTGCTTCTATGTAAGTGCTCGCAGGGCACCCGCACTCTCATTCTCGCGCCGTTTACCTTTCTCCCTCTCCTTGTCCCTGTTACGGCCTTGTTCCTTCCCGTTTAGCATGGGGTGACATTGTTTCCTACACACAGATGACTGTCTCCGTCGGAACCACTCTCATGAACAAGATGTCTTTCAGCGGGCGCAAGTTCCCTTTCCCGTTCTTCGTCACGTGCTTCCAGATGGCTGTTGCTCTCTTCTGGCTCTACGTCTTAAGTTTGCTCCAGCGCCACGGACCCAAGTCATTGAACGTCTTGCTGAACCTCGACGACATCCCAAAGTTGGAATGGCGGATCAAGAACTTCCTGTCGGCTGCAGGAGTGGCCGCGGCTTTCACAGCGATGCTATCAAGCGGAAACCTTTGCCTTATGTTTGTTCAGGTGTCTTTCTACCAGGTTTGTTTCCTTGAATGGTGTACCGAGTCTTGTGGTCTGATGAGAGGTGACAGGCTGCCAAGTCACAACATATCCTTTGTATCTTGGTGCTCTCCTACTTTCTGAGGAACGAAATGCAACCTTGGCCTGTTGTTGTGTCTTGTGTCGGAGTGACTCTGGGGTTTATCATCAACGCCATTGCTGAGGCTGATATCGTGATCACCAAATTAGGGGAGGACCTTAGTACTCTGATCTATGGTTGTGTTGCTGGTTTTGTGAGCAGCTTCTTTGTTGCCTTATATCCCATGTTGCTTCACTCGAGCATCCTCAAGGGCAAGAACAACTGGTGCGTGTCTCTACATGAATGCTGCACTCAAAGTCTCGCTGCCAGATGTCTCTGACTGATGACTCGATTCTGTGCAGGCAAATCAGCATCAACGTCAATGCCATGTCCCTCGTGTGGTACACTCCTCTGATCATCTATGAGATCTGGGTTGGCGGCTTGTTGAGTTCCCCCTTCCTCCTCGATGTTGAGTTTTGGACGTTCAACTTTGCAACGGTGAGTTGGAGAGCAAGAGAACAATCGTGGCTTACTCCTGCTCAGGCTTCCGTTGGTTTTGTCCTCAACGTAGCGGCCATGCTCCAGGCACCTCTGAAATTGACTTGAGCAGCACTGACAACTCGTCAGGTGAAGTTTACGAGCCCCCTCACGCACATGATTGTCGGATCCGTCAAAGGAGCAGTCACTTCAGTCATCGGCGTGCTGTTCTATGGGAACAGGATGAATGCGATGAGTTGCACAGGGTTGACAATCCTGTTGATGTCATCCTTTGCATACTCCTATCTGAAACAATCGGCACACAAGAAGTTGAAATAAAGTTTATGAGGTCGCGCGTCTGGTGCGAGCGACACAGGAAGTCGCGCTCCGAGGTCGAGCCGTTGTCAGCTCCATGGGTCGACATTCTGAACCCTCAAGGAGACCATGGGAAGCAGCCCGCATAAGTGCGAGGAAATATCTGAAAGCAGCTGTCAAGCTTTGAGGACTGAAGACTGCAAGGCCCCTCTTACCTCCCCTAAAGAAATGGCACGAGCAATACGCCGGAACTCTCCTCTCTTTGGAGCCGCTATAGCTGACTCCACCTATGCAGTACAAGTTGAGGTTTGGCTCCATAGATATCTTTCATCATACCTCGTTGAATGCCAGGCGAATTCGGCCTTTGGTCGAATCGTTGAAGTAAAGAGGGCTCTGCAATCCCTTCGTCTCAGACCATCTCTCTTCATCAGATGTCTCACCTTTGGCCTCTCGTTGGCTCCGACCCTCGCGCTTCTCCTATCTCCTGCGGTGAATTTAAATCAGACAACAGACGATGGTAGTTGTGAAAAGTGTCACACGTGCTGAAAGAGCTTTAGCAAACTTGTCATCTTTCCCAGCCAATATATCAGGGCAGCTCTGTCACAGTCCCATCACACTTCATAGCCATTCCTACACTCGATGCTACATTTCTAGTACGCGAGGCTGTCTCGAGCCTCAGGGGCCTCGGTATCGTTGAACGTCCATTGAAGGAGGAGGATATCGGCCGTACAGGCTCAGGAAAGATGGGGGAGCCTATTGCCGACTTCTTCGAACCATTCGGAGATGTTTGATTCCCTTGCACGATTCAATTCAGTGATCTCTCTATGTGCCCGATCCTGAATCTCACCTTGACTGCACATTGTGCGTAAATGCTTCAAAACCTTATCCCTTCGCGCCGAGGTCGAGATGATTTCCTCTTGATGGACAGCCCTTGACCACGAGCCCCTCATTTCTTCGTGTGCCAAGGATGGTGTTGAGAGCAAGGCGTCTGAGCCCAGAGTCGATGATTGAAACCACTGCCTGCTGGAATCTTCCTAAAACCCCTGTCAAAATCTTTTCAGTGCCAGCATACCAACAAATCTCGAACATCGTGATGACAAACGTAAAACTGATGACATGTATCAAAAGACCGTGAGAATACCCGGTGATGTGAGTGATTCTCGCCATTAGAACTCGATTGATTAGCTTACTATCCTCGCAAGGTTCTCTTTCTATCCAACCTAGACACTTGGCTTTCAAGATTCTGCAGCAGAAAGACGAAGTCATGGCTAAACCTTAAGTTGGCCATACCCTATTGCTAGCGATATATTGATTGTTCGTACTGATGGCAAGATGTCTCAATCATCTCGCGTTTGTGAGTGAGATCAGCTTTTGATCCTCAACTTTCTCATCATTGGAATGATCATGGATCGTTAGCACTCAAACCCTTCCTTGCCACAAATCGAATCATCGCTTCCACCTAGAGCCGACCGACTTCACGCGCGTCTGGTCTCTTACGATCTACGGAGTCCTAGTTCCTGTCCTATGACCGCTCGACTATCTTTCCATGTCCATCTCTCTCCCTGCTCGGTGCTCTCCGAGTCTCTCGCTCTCGGCGGCGAGTCGCCGCGGGCCATGGCACAGGGATCTAGTTGACTTATCAAGAGCACAACCCCCACCCTCACCCCGAGGGGAGCCCACCCGTCCATTCGTGGGATTTCAGGGGGGTCATGTTTCATCCATAACAACTGATTGACCGACGATCGGATGATCCTCGAGGGGTTGTGTAGCCCCCGGGCCTACCCGGCCGCTGGCACTGACTGACTCGGACGGCCGGGACTCGGACCGTACGGCCGGGCCGGGCCGGGGCCCGGGCCTGGCCCCGGCGCCGAGGGCCCCGGATGTCACAGTGTGACCCTCAGAGCTGTTCACGGAACTGAGTCTGACAAAGGTAAATAAAAAATCAGTACGAGGACAATCAGGAGAGTAGAGGCACGGTAGAGGAGGCTTGACCGGCACTGCCAGGCAGGCTGCAGCTCTGTCGCACAGGCGCATACTGCGGCTAGGCTGAGGGGCCCGGGGCGACTTGAACCCCCGGCCCCCTCCGACGTCGTCCCGGCGACCGTTCACGCCGACGGTCCAGCTTTACTCGAAGTTAAGTTAAAAATCAGAACAAGGTCAGTCCGATCTGTCTCATCCGGGCCGGAGTCCGGCGGATCATCGATCGGACTAAAAACACGTCGGGACTTCAAAAAGAAGATCGCAATCGGCAGGACTCGAACCTGCGCGGGGAGACCCCAAAGGATTTCTAGTCCTTCGCCTTAACCGCTCGGCCACGATTGCACATGAGGGGCAGTCACAACAAGCTTTATGAAGTAGCATAATGGTGGCAGCGAAAATGGTAGAGCGGTTCAAGATGCGACATAAGCCATAGGGAAGACTGGGGGTGTACATGCAGAGATGCTGAAGATGGAAAGAGACGAACAACGATTTTGTGGAGAGCAGCACTTTGATGTCAAAGATTTGGTGTGGAACAGAGACAAGAAGAACGGAAAGTGTTTCAGTGCATGCCGTCCCAAAGGTTGGAGCGTTGTCTTTGCTTGTACTGACAACTCTCCAACTACATCGATATATCTTGTTGGGTGATGTAGTAGCAGCACTTGTCCGCTGACATCTCCAACTCCAAGTACATCATGACCTGTACGCTCGTCAGCCGCGCCAAGGCAAGGGAACATGGGAAGCGCTGACCTTGGACGACGCTGTCGGCTCCTCGTGAGAGGTCCTCCCATGATCTGTACACCGAATCAACCACATGGGATCTTGCAAGGCAGCAGCGGCAGACCTGGCATCCTGCAGGGCTTCTGCACGCAGTTGATACGAACGACGAGCCGGTTCTTCTCCTTGGAGAAGCTTGTGGCAAGATCAGAGTACTGACAACGTTAAGATGAAAGAGACACCAACCTTCCGTTCGATCGCCAGTCCTGTTCTCCCTGTGGCGCGAGAACATCAGCCATGCACGAGGCGACATGGAACGACTTCTTACATCAAGAGCAAGATCGAACTGGAGGGACTTCAACTCATGAACGATCGCATCTCGTCCAACCTGCGCATGGGTCGAATCAGTTCAACACAGTCTCGCAGACGACATTTCAAACAGGAGCGATAAAAACACACCACTCTGGTTTCCGAAATCTTCAAAACTGCTTCCTTGGTGTAAAGCGACCAAAGGATCTGTGCTGCAGTTAGAGGCTATGAATTTGGTCCGAAATCTCAATACCTCACGGCGAGGGGAAGCGAAGTATGAGAGGTAAAATGACTGAGAGCATGTCAGTTGTGCTACACCACACCGCAAAACATCAAACAGCACACATCCATACCATGAAGGTTGAAGCCGCTTCATGAGGCGAAAATTTGGCTGAGTCTGGCAAGTTGCTGCTTACATAGCACGATCGAACATTCCCCAACCACTTTGCAAGGGTCGCTCGCTTGCTTGCAACTGAAAGACCATCGCAGGTATTCTTGATGAATTCATGAGTCAGCAGCTTCGTCGCTGTTGGCCGTAACTTGGGATCCTTCTGCAAGCATGCCTCCGTCAAGTCTCTGAACGCAGACGAAAAGGCGCTGCCTGAGGGCAGCTGTGGCGCATCATTCTTGACTATAGCATCCATAAGTTCCCAATATGTCTTCCCACCTCCGTTCTGTTGATAAGGGTATTCTGCCGTAGCACATTCTATCATGGTCAAGCCAAAACTCCAAATATCGGACGGGAAGGAATAAGGCTCTGATCCAAACCTCTCTGGCGACATGTAAAGAAAAGTTCCCACGAACGTGGTACACTTCACCAGTGAGCTATCTAGCTCGGCAGAAACTCCAAAATCAGTTATTTTCACTCGACCACTATGGTCCATCAAGAGATTGCACGGTTTGAAGTCGCGGTGAACTTGTTTCTTACTGTGCATAAATGCCATTCCATCCAAAATCTGCTCGGCCATAATCGCCAAAATTTCTTCAGGCATACTACCGGATAACTTCAAAACATCAGCCACAGAACCTGCTGTCATATACTCCAATGCAACAGAGATCGTTCCCTCATTGTAGAACGCGCCATGGAACTGGATGAGGCAATCATGATGGGCGTCGCACATCATTATCACTTCTTGCATCATCTGTTTCCTTTTCTCTTCTTCAAACACGTTGATTACTTTTAGCGCCATCAGTTCATTGGTCCGCTTGTGCCTTGCCTTCTTGACGTATCCGCATGAACCTTTGCCGATGATTTCCATCAGCTCAAAGTCGTTCCTGCTCAACTCAAATCTAACGTCCTCGTTGCTGTTTGCCCTCTTCGCACTGGTCGAGCTGCGGGTACTTGAGGGTGAATTGAGAGTTGGGGTATCATTGCTTGCCAAAGATCGTGCAGAATGTACCGTGATCCCTTGCTGGCTGATATGTACAAGGCCTTCGCGGTAGGACCCTTCATCACTGAGGTTGAACTGCTTCCCGTCATCAGTTGGAACTACAGACAACATTCCTAGAGTGTTGCTCTTCGATCGTTTCGCTATCCATCCTTTTTCCATCTTCACTTCTTGTATCGCATCATCCGCAGCCTCATCGCCAACATCGTTCACTTCCACGCAGTTGTCCATCTCCTGTTCTCGTTGGAAGAAATCAGCAAGCAGGTATACAATCACAAGCCAAACCAGCAGAACAGACAACAACAGTTCAAGAAGAGCACGACATCAGCGTATTTCGAACACTTGCACAGTCATTACGCTAGAAGATCCAAAAGGCAAAGGTCGCGTTGACCAGAGACAAGAGCATCAGAAATCAATGCGAACCCAGTGGGCAAGACATTTAATATCAATCTGCTCTGTTTCTTTCTGAAGATCATAAGAAGAGATATTTGTCAGGCACAGATTCGAAATCAATTGAATATTACTGGAAATTCCTCTCTGATCAAACCTCCTCCTGTAATAGAGTCGCGAGCTGACATTGACTCTTATTGTTAGACATTTTAACTGCTACATCGAATTTTCGTCTCTCATGAAGATGATGTAAAATAAAAGATGGTTCAAACCAGAAAGCTCTTTCGACAACATCAGAGTTCATCCAAGAAATTTCTACAAGCACATCAAAACGCACAGCAGAAACAGATTCCGCCCCCAACGCATTCTGCAGGGAAACTCTGCAAGAACTGTGTTGCCCAATGCAATCTTCAGTTGATGGTTAGATGAAAGGAGATTTCTTGACTAGCATACGATAATTACACATCACATCTGCATTTCCTTTCTTCCTGCTCATTTCCCTTCATCTATTCAGCTCTGTACTTTTTGCTTCTCCTCGCCCTGAAGCGCATTCTTTTATCCTAGGACATACAACCACCCCACCCCGACAACCTTTCCTACCCACCCCCATGTATGATTTTTCTGGCTTCGCACCCCTTCGATCAAGAGCCCCCACCTCACAGTACTAGTGACTTCACGCTACAGCAACCCGTGCTATTACCCACCCCCCACGGAGCCTGTGCACACACCCCTGTGACTTGGTTTTGATAAGGCAACAGGGGGTAGGTGATGGAACCGCGATGAATACGAGGTCAGCTGCCCTAACTAAGGGTGGGGTGGTGGTGGATAGTGGTGGGTACATTGAGTATAGTTTGGGAGGAATAAGATGGGTAGGGTCCTTCTACCGCCTAACCCGGCACAGCGCTTTGAGCTCGGCCGGGGGCGGCACCTGGTTCAGTGACTCGGGGCGGCCCGGGGTGCCCGGCGGCCCGGACTCGTTTTACTCTTAACACTCGTGAGTCATCACTGGCGGGCCCTGGCGACTTTTCAGTTTGTAACTCAAAGTTAAGTTAAAAACTAGTACGGTAAACAACCGTTGAACGGTCTACCACCCGCCCCCCCGCCGGCCCTGGGCGGCCCCCGGCCAGGCTCAGTGCAGTCACGGACTCCGGACGGTCTGGGCCGCTTTGCCAAGTTGAGCGGCCCGGAGGGGGAGCCCGGACGGCGTACGGTCCGAGCCTGCCATCGAGTCACCGGGCCCGGCCGCTCCGGCCGGCCGGGCCGTTCATGAGTCATCGCCCTCATCACCACATCTCCCCGACACTGAGTTGAGCAGAACGAGCGAAAGTTCCATGCTCGTCTAAAAGACGCTGAGGTTGGGGAAGAGCAGCAGACAAAGAGAGAGCATGAGAGGAGAGGGTAGAGGGGAGACCTGAGATAAGTGTAAGGAGAGATGAGATAGGATCAAGGATAGAGAAGAGAGGATTCATACGAGAGGAGTCGAGAGAAGATCGGGGAAAGAGAGCCTGTGGGTCATCTAGTTGGATTGTCAAGTGCAGGTGGATTCATGCGCTCTAGAAAAGCACTGCCCCTATTCTACCTCGTTCTTCTTCCTCTTGTGTGGATGGGGACAGCGAGCGGTCATGGGAGAAAGAAATCGAGCAGCATACCCTTCATGTCGCTCACCTTCAAGCGCACTGTCAAGAACCAGATTGTCCCCGTCCCTGAGTCAAGCGTGCCCAACTCTCTGCACCATGTCCTGCTCGGTGTAGACGGCATGCTGTATGCTTCCTCCTTCATCACCAACGAGGTGTACCGTGCCGTGGTCGACGAGCGAGGGGCATGGCAGTGGTTCCGAGTAGTTTCGAAGGGCACGGGGGTTGATGGCCCGACGGGCCTGGCGGTTGACAAAGATCTGAGGCTGTACGTGGCCTCGTTCGGGACGGATCAGATCCTCCGGTACGACACGGTCACCGGCAGCCTGATCGATATCTTCATCAACGATGAGGAAGGGAAGTTAGACTGCCCCGAGGGGCTCCTCCTCCTCGAGGACCGGCTGCTGGTCGCAAGCTTCCTCAACGACAGGGTGGTCAGCTACAGGCTGGACGGTTCCTTCCAGGAGATCTTCTCTGCGGGCTGGTACATGGATGGGCCGCAGGTGAGGAGGAGAATGCTTGTTGCAATTCTTGGGGGATAGTGGAGGGTGCTTGCGGGTTAGAGGATGGCGATGGAGATGACTGTGGGATAACAGGTTATGCTCTTCCATCCCAAGACCAACTCCATCTTCATCTCTTCTTATCATAGAGACAAGATTGTGAAGGTGGATGCGACGACGGGGAAGAAGCAGGGAGAGTTTGGCGGTAAAGAGTTGAGCCGTCCTGTTGGGCTTGCGGCAGCTCCTGACGACACGGTGAGATGGAAGCAGCAGGAGCAGGAGCAGGAGCAGGAGCAGGAGCAGGAGCATTTTCTGACTGCACGTTTGCAGGTGCTATGCAGTTCACATAAAAGCAACGAGATCTTGCGGTACAACGCGAGTACAGGTGAAGGAAGTCGAGATGGAGATGGGGATGGAAACGTTGAGGATGCTGATGTTGGATGCTGATGATGACGATGACGATGATTGTGATGACGAATATGATGATGGTGACGATGAAAAATGATGAAAAACAACAGTGGAGATGATGATGATGATGATGATGATGATGACGATGATGACGATGATTGTGATGACGATGATTGTGATGATGATGACGATGATGATGATGATGATGATGATGACGATGATGATGATGATGATGATTGTGATGACGAATATGATGATGGTGACGATGAAAATGATGAAAACACAGTGGAGATGATGATGATGATGATGATGATGGTGGTGGTGGTGGTGGTGGTGGTGGTGGTGGTGGTGGTGATGATGATGATGATGATGATGATGATGATGATGGAGATTGAGTCGAGGCGGTAGGAAAGAAGGGGCTGATTTTCATTTCAGGCATTTTTCTCGATGTATTTGCTGCAGGGCATGGACTCTGGGCACCAACAGGAATTGCGATGAGCTCAGGTAAGGGACTAAAGGCAGTTGGACAGGAAGGCAGAGGAGCGCGAGAGAGTTGGTGGTGCACGTTGGAAGAGAATGCGAAGATGATGCTGAAGACAACAGGAGACGAGGGGTTGGGGGGGAGAAGGGCTGGCGGAAGAGAGGGAGATAGAGAGATAGGGAGAGAACTTGCGGAGATTGAGTGTTTCACTCCTACTCGGCAGATCTTGTTTTGTTTGTCGGAACTTTCTTGGACGGATTGCGAAGATATAGGTTCTTTCTATCCTCGTACGATTCATCTCATAGTTTGACGGGCTTGCAGCTTCTGGAGATGACATTTGATCCGGAAATCAGTGGAAGATTGCAGAATGCGAAGTCTTTCTCCTGCGATCATCAAAGACATGCAGAGAAAAAGGGGAAAAGAAGGAAGAACGGGTGAGGAGCAACAGTGATAGAATAGTGAATCACGGACAATATTTAGACTGCACATCTCTCATGTATGCGCCGTCAATCAGAATCATTCTACTATACAACTTAGATTAACATCAATTCAACGAAATGATAAGAAAGCCAGGTTGGCTTCCAATGGCATACCGCCACCGTCCCCTTACCCTCATGTCAGCCTTTCCCCGACGCACGCAGGAACTTGCCTGCCTGATCTTCGTTGTCGTCTCCCTCCTCCTCTTCCTCCCCTTCCCTCATCTCCTCCTCTTGTTGACCGGCCTGACGAGCTCCTCCCAACTCCTCCTCTTGCTCGCCATCTGCATGAGCGCGTCCGCCTCCTCCAGCGCCTTCTGCTCAGCAAGTCAGCTGCTTCCCTTAGACCTTCTCCTCTTGCTCGTCTAGTCTGTTCTATAATCGATCTCCTTTCCTACCTATGTCTTCCTCCTCCTCCTCCTCCTCCTCCTCCTCCTCCTCCTCCTCCTCCTCCTCCTCCACGCTCCTGCTGCTGCTGCTGCCGCTGCTGCTCCACCTCCTCCCCCTCCCTGTTGCCCCTCCTCCATCACCGCCACCACTAGCAAGTACGCCCATTCTCTCGCCACCTCGAGCGCTTACCCTCATCCTCGCAAGGGAAGATTTATCCACAAACCTCCCGAGGTTGATCTGATACGACGATTTCACCTCCTCATAAGCCATCTTCTCCTCTCCTTCTCCCCACCTTCCTTCGCTCCCTCCCTCCATGCCCCCATCAATGCCGCCCCCTCTTCCTTTCCCACCATTCCCCTCGCCTCTCCCTCCTCCCCCATTCTCACATCCGCCAAGAAGGGATCTTGAATGAAGAGCGACGTCCCAAGTCCCCGATGAGCTATCGCAAAATATCAAAAGGAAGAAGAGGTGGAGGAAATGGGCAGGTGGTGGATATCAGGAGGGAGGAGGGAGGAGGGAGGAGGGAGGAGGGAGGAGGAAGGAGGGAGGAGGGAGGAGGGAGGAGGGAGGAGGGAGGAGAAGGAGGAGGGAAGCAACTTTTCTTGCCTGTTGGCGACACGTTTGCAGATAGTCTTGCAATATCAAGCTCTAGCCCTTCTGGCTGTGAGAACCTCTAAGAATCCTACTACTCTGCTTCCTCCATTATCTTTTCCAGCGCTTCCTCGCTCTCAATCAAATCAACTCACTGCCTTTGGTGTTTCTCTCCCTCCCTCCCTCCTCTTTCGTCCTCCTCTCTTCTCCTTTCCTCCTCTCCCTTGCTCCTCTCCTCTCCCTCCTCTTTTCCTCCTCCCTCATCGCCACACTGTCAACACCCTTTTGCTCACCTTCACCTCGCTGTTTGGCGCAAAGTATACCCTCTTACTGTCTCCGATGCTCTTGCAGGACGAGAAGAAGCGCTTGACAAGGGCAATGCATCTTTCATGCAGGGGCCGCGACCCTCCCCCTCTTCCCTCCGCCTTGCAGCAGGGTCACTTGCACACCCAACGGGCTGCTCACCCACCACCTCATCGTCATGCTCCTCGTGCTGAGGAGGGAGAAGATCGGAGACAGAGGACAGGAACAGGACAAACCAACCCAGGGAGTTGAGACCTCCCTCTGTCGGACTGTTCAACCTCTGCGCCCCAGCCCACACCTTGATCAGTCGCATGCTCTGGCAGACGGCCTCGTCCCTGCTGTACCTCCTCGCCCATTCCCGCACCTGGACATGATGTCTTGCTATCACGTTGTCCTCTCCCCATTCGTGCGTCACGTCGAAGTTCGTTCCTCTCAGTGTCAGCCGGGCAAGCGGCACCCGCGCGTTCAGCACCAGCGTGACGTTAGCCGACGGCTCCTCTCTCAGCGTCGCCTCCTCCAGCCTTGAGAAGAACCTCGGGATCTTGCTCCTCGTCCTCACGTTGACGTCCATGTCACTGCTCTTGATCCACATGTTGAACGTCCAGCTCCCGAAGCAGACCAGCCCGAAACCCCCCTCCCTCTCCCCCCCCTCCCTCCCCTCCCTCCCCAGCTCCTCCCTGAACTCCTTGGAGCAGAGCTCCTCGAAGCAACGAAGGGAACTTCGGTAAGAGATGAAGTTTCATAAGTAGTGTCAGTACAAGGCACGTGGCAGGGCATGTCACCGCACGTTTTCTTGCGCTCCAAGGATTCCTGGTCAGGCATCGAACTACAAGTGGTTATGAAGCGCCCGATCGTCGCCACCTCATCCTGCCGTGTCCGGGGATCAGAGGCATACCATCGAGGTCACAGCAAGTCTACCTCCTCCTCCTCCTCCTCCTCCTCCTCCTCCTTTCCCGCTCCGTCGTCCCCATCGTTGTCGCTATCAGATGCGTACTGCACTAGCGCATCCATGTTCAGGCTTAATTTTTAACCCACACGGTGTTACTTTTTACTGAATTCCGTCTAAATTAAGCGACATGTCTGCTTGATCCGAGTTAGAGACGCAACTTGATGTACGATCACCAATGACGTTCGAAGTTGCTTGCGTGAACTTGGCCCTCTGCAAGGATTGTTCAGATGAAAGATGGTTATCAACCGATCTCAAGAATTTGTGGTATGAAATGCACCGACGGCCATGGCAGGTTTCCAGCTGATGCAATAGGTAAATCCTCATTCACAAAAATTCCATGGTTTCATTCAAAGGCGACAATAATCTAATTTAGCACATCTTGGGGAGGATGGTTCCAACTGGCTTCATCAAGTAGTTAGCGATGGGGCCGACATCGTGGGCAACGCAGGACTTGTAGTTGGGGATGCCACCAAGGAACTGAAGGGGTCCCTTGCCGGTGAGAAGGTAGTGATGGACCATTCCTCCGATTCCGATCATGGCGAGACGGCCGTTCTTCACCTCCTTGAGGCGATAGGTGGAGGCAGACTTGGCGTCCTTAGAGAAACCGAGGGGATCGAAGCCGAAGTCACCGGGGGCGCGGGAGGTCTCACCCTTGAAGGTCTGGACGATGGCAGGAGCGGAGAGGATCTCGAGGAGGCCGATCCAGAGGAGCATCTGATGCATGGTGGCGACCTTGCTTCCGCCAATCTCGAGGGAGAGGTACTTGTCGTGAGCGCTGGTCATCTTGGCAGCACCGATGACCTTGTCCACTCCAGGGAAGGTGAAAATGTCCTGCACGATAGCTCCAGTGGCGGCAAGCATAGCAACGCGGCCGTGCTTGAGCTCGGCCTCACGCAGGAACTTGATCCATCCAGCATCCGGGAGCATGGAAGAAACCCAGAGCGGATCGAAGCCGACATCGCCCTCCATCTTGCCATCGAGGGCAGGAGGAGCCTCAAGCCATGGGAGGGGCTTGCTTCTTGCCTGCATGGACATGGAGCTGATGGCATTGCTGCCTGTCATCACATCGACGTCAGTAACCCAGTCATGTAGGAATTCGTCGCTTGAAAAGATATTTTACAGCTCTTTGTTACTGGTTACACTCACGATGCATCACGATTGATTCTCACACTGACTAGACCCCAGTTCACAATGCATCAAGTTTTGGCATACAACCACAGCTCTCTGTGCATTCCAGACAAAGAGAACTCATCAAGAATCCAGGAAGTTAGATTCGATCCCAAAACTTCGTTTTTCGGAAATCATGCAAGAAAGACCAAGAACATGCACAAATACAAGGCAGAATAAAACAAGATGATGACTTACGTGCTGGGGCATGAGCAGAAGGAAGAGCTGGGCCAGCCAAGAAGGCAGTGGCAGTAGCTACAGAGGCAGCGATGACGGACGTGCGAAGCATCTTTCGCTTGCGGTTCCTCCCTCCACAGATTTATTACGCCAAGCCCCCTACCACCCTACCCCTACCCCTAGGCTCTTCCAGAACCCCCCAGTTCAATTCACCCTACCTACGGAAAATACTCTACCCTCGTAATTTTTAATAGAATTGCAGATACCCTATAAGATCTAAGTAATTTGATGGATAAATGGAGGGGTACTTCAACTTCAATTTAACTCACCCCACCCATTGCGGCATCAATTTCTTTCCTGCACCCCACCAAATGACAGTACCCTATGACAAGACACCCTTCTTGAATTTTCCCTACCCGTTCAGAGTCCACAATTACAAGTGGGTAGCTGTACCCTGCTGTTTCACGAATATACCACGGGTGATCCAAACTGTACGTGTGACCGGGGGAAACAGGAAAGAGACCTACAATGTTGGGTAGGGTAGGGCACCAGGAGGAAGGGGGTGGGATAACAATTTCCACAAGGGTAGGGTCATAAAAAGGGGTAGTTTCTTTTATAGAGGGTGTAGGTATGGTAAGTAGGGGTACTTTGAGCAGTCGCCCCGGGAAAGAATGGGGTACACCCCTGTAGGTACTCGTAATTAGCTGGGTGGGTGATCCAAACAAGGGGGTACTGACGAATACAAGGGGTATGTTTCGATAGCAATAGTGCGATGGGAGTGACAGGAGGGCCATGTTGGGTCAAGTGAGAATTTTCATATGTCTCGACATAGAAAAACGGTGATAGATAGACCATAGAAATACGATATGTGTGGATGTGGTTGTTGAAGGGGTAGCAGTTTCAGTGTGGGTGGGAAAGGGTAGGGTAATATCCTTTGGGACACAAGGATCGCAGGGTTTGCAGGTACCCCCTGTCAGAGGTGGTGTACTTGTGTACCCTACCCATGAATACTACAACCGAGCTAAAAAGTAGGGGTGCTTTTCTATTGGACTTCCACCCCTACCCACACGATGACCTGAAGTACTCGTTTTCCAGATGCTTGATTACAAAGAAAAACAATCCATTTTTTTTTCTTTTTTGTTTCAGCCTTTTACACTAAAAAAATCAATAAAAGTGCCCGGCTCTTAGTAACCACAGGACTCAGGCTCGGGGAACTGGCAAGTTCCGGCCCGCATGCGGACTCCGGGCCCGTGACTCGGAAGTTCGATCCTGGCCGCGAGGTGGGCCCGCCGCGGGACGGCGCCCGAGGCACCGTGGCATCCTCCTGGCATCATACAGGGCGCGGCCTGTCTCTCTCATGGCGCGCGCCCCATATCGGATGTGCTCCTCAATCATGGCACAATGTTGATTAAACTTGAAAGGCTTAAACTCGGCATCATTAACCTACAGTTCAATGATTATCATGGCACCCTGATTTCAACTTCGAAAATTTGAAAATTTGAAAATTTGAAAATTTGAAAATTTGAAAATTTGGCAGCACCCGGCGCTCCGGCGGGCCGGGGCCGCTGCGGCTCGGGCCAGCGACTCGGAGTCAAGTCCCTTCAGACATAGTAGGTCGAAGTGTCTCTGATTGGCCAGTGGCACTGACAGGAGGCTGAAACTGACCTGGAAGCTTGTGCATCACATTCACTGCGGTGACCGGCTGCTCTGTCGACAGCTCTCGCAACCTCTGCTGGAGTATTTGTTCAGCCCTAGCAACAAACGGCCCGTACAGGGTCTCCAGCTCCCGCGACAGGGCAAGCAGCCGCTCCTGGCCCTCCTTCGACTTCTGCATCCCTAGGATCGTTTCCCCCTGCGAGTGAGCTCAGGGGAAAAGGACGCAGCATGCCAAGGCAGGCAGGCAGAGGCAGCAGGCAGGCAAACAGGAAGTTGCCATGCTGGTAGCTCACCGCATACATGTCGGCATCGAAGTCGCTCATCCATCGATCGTAGCTTCTTTCACGGTCGAGGTTGATAATTTTCAACAACCGCACGAAGGGGTCGGCGGCGTTTAACAAACGGGACTCGAAATCTTCTTTGCTTACCTGACATATGCCAAGTCAGATTTCCTCCTCCTCCTCCTCCTCCTCCTCCTCCTCCTCCTCCTCCTCCTCCTCCTCCTCCTCCTCCTCCCTCATTGTCGTCCTTTTCCTCCTCGTTCCTGTTTTGTCTCATCCTGCTACTTCTCCCTTGCGCTTGCTCCCGATCAGTCCCCAGCTTACCGGGTGCAGAAAGGACTTGATGGACTTTAAAGAGCCATGACTGTCAAACTGCTGCTGCTGGACCATTCGGACCATCACACAGCTCTCGCCATGTTCTCCACGGACTCGGATCGGGGTGATCAGATCGAGCGGCCTGCCAGGGTACATCGCAAAGGACCAGGTCCCGTACATAACATAGACCAAGTAGTTCAGCTCCGTGCTCAACAATGGCAGCTCCCTGTTCGCAATCCTTGCCAGCACCTCCTCTACATGCAGACCCATCATGTGGCACGCTGCACCAGAAACGTAGGCGTGCGCTCGCTTGCCCGTCCCAGAGTAGACATGCTGGGACATCACACCGTATTCCTGCTGCTCGTAGAACGTGCGTTCTAGCTCCACCTCGCGCGCTGAGACGGTCGTGGTTTCCGCTAGCAGCTGCGCCTGCCTCTTGGCCATGGCATCTTCGATGATGATCTCCAAGGCCTGCAAGGCCCTCCTTGTGACATCCTGCATGTAAGGAGGAAGGCAGACGAAGATGTTCATCATGTCTCTCGAGCTGTGCCCGAACTCCCAGTGCCTCGCCAGCACTCGGTCGGGCCATCCCATGGAGTTCATTCTCTCTCGCAGAAGCGAGGGCTCCTGGAAGGACATGCTTCGGGCCCTGTAGTTCAGCGGCCGCTCCACCTGCAGCTCCAGCACGCGGCTAGGCCGGTCAGGAGAGAGCACATCGAGCCGGTCGAACTGATCCTCGTTCAGGTCAACCAGCTGCGACTGGATGAGCTCTAGCTGCTCGTCGATGCAGTCCCACTCTCTGCCGAGACGCTTGCAGCGCGAGCAAGGCCTCTCCTCGTCACACTTCAACTTTGCTCTCTTGCAAGGGATACACGCTACTGTGCTTCTCTTCCTCGCCCCCCTCGCCACTCGCAGCCTGATGCACTGATCTGCTATGTTGGACTGAACACACCTGAATAATCAAAGAGATAAGTTGCTCCCCACTCTAACTCTGCTCCCAACTTTTCAGTTCAGTGACCCAGATCCGCATACATCAATTGCAGGAGGCAGAGTGAGAGGGAAGGAGGGAGGGAGGGAGGGAGGGAGGGAGGGAGGGAAAGAGGGAGGGACGGAGGGACGGAGGGAGAAGAAACGAAAGAGAAGGAAACAACAAGTGCGCTCAATATGAGACGATGGCAACCTTGTGCATGGTTGGAAGTTATCACACTTGGACTTGATGTCTTTGCAGGGCTTGCAAGCCAGGGATATCCTCTTCATGGAGCCAGCTGCAAGCACAGAAATGTTACAAGGTATGGCTGTAAAAAGGTTATCTTTAGCTCTGTCTCTGTCTCTTTCTCTGTCTCTGTCTCTGTCTCTGTCTCTTTCTCTGTCTCTGTCTCTGTCTTTGTTTTAGCATTTCTTTCTATTTGTTTTCTTTTTCTTGTTCTGTCTCTCTCTTTGTCTCTCGCCTCCCTCTAGTCCATGCCTTGCACGGAGCCATCGTTCATCATTTGCGGCGGCCCCTCACGACTGATTGGTTGATGTCTCCCCGTCACACGATATGATACAACATCATGCTGAAATTTTTTTGCAGGCTTCCTACATCCTCTCACAAATGCTACTTTTTCCCCTTTCGAGCTCAAGCAACTACGATTCTTCAAATATCATCGGATGTTGCACTCCATTTTGTCGTAGTATCTTGCATCCCAGACCCGCTGCTCTCTGCAGACACGCAGGCGATCAATGAGTTCCAGCTCACTGGGCAACATGGAGAAGGAAGCGCGCATGATCTCCCTTCCCCTCTCCTCCCTCCCCTTTGCTCCTTACTGTTGCATCGTTATGTCCAACTTAGTTAGGGAAAAAAGATGTGGTCACTACTTTAGGAAAGGCTTTTACTCAAAGTTAAGTTAAAATCAGTACCAGGACAATCGAGCAGAGGGGCGGCTCAGTGACCCTCAACTTTTTCAAAAAAAAGTACCGGGAGTCCCGGCGGGCCCGCGCCATCATGCCATGCCGCAGTGCCCGGCCAGCTATCACGGTCGCTCAGTACTAGTACAGTACCGTATGCCGGGCCGCCGGGCCGCCGGGCCGTCGAACTTAAGTTGTGACTTCAACTATGATGAACTCGGAACATGACTGGACTCCGGGAACTGATCGTGCCCCGAGGCCCTGGCGGGCCGCGCCGCGGGCAAGGGCCGCGCGGCCGGCGGGGGCCACCCGCTTTTGGAGTAACCGTACGGCGGTACTACTGATCATCGGATCGGACTGAGTGGCAGCCTGGGTAACTTGAAACTCAGTGATGTGACGTCGCCCGGCCGCGCCCGGCCGCCGGGTCTTGAGTCTAGGCCCTAATAGGCTAGTCAGTTGTGGGGGGGGCCGCGCCTCACGGCCCGGGCCGGTACGGTAGTAAGCCCGGGGCACTGCGGCAAGGTTGCAGTGACTCCCGGAGTCCGGGCTTTCACTGAGTCACCATCCGACTCGCCGCCGGATCACGCCGCCCGGCGCGCACGGAGCCTGAGGAGGCTGCAGCCCCCGGCCGGGCGTCGATGGGCCGCGTGCCGCCATGATCCGGGCGCCCTCAGGGCCTGGCGGTGCAGGCCCAGGCTCAGAGGCCCGCCGACTGACGGCGCCCAGCACACATAAAGGAAAATGGCGAAAGTCGTTCTGCTTGCAGCGATGGCGCCGCTTCTGGCGGATGCGTACCTCCCTTCGCCTCACACCTCCTTACTCCTCCGAAGAGGAACGGCAGCGCTCAATGGCGTCTCCTCTCCTGGTCCCGTCGGGCGCCGATCATGGTGATATGCTCGAGTTGTTGGTTCATTGCTAACGATTTCCTTGGCCAGGGGACCGAAGATGCAGGAGCAAGACACGAGCATGCAGAGGAGGTCCTTCCTCCAAGTCGCAGGACTGTCGCTCGCTGGTCTCTCCCTGGGATTTCCTGTGTTTGCTGATGTACTCCGATGCGGATGGGCTTATGAGATCCCCTGTAAATTCTGTGCAGGATCAGCCTCCCTTGGGAAGCTCAAGGCGTCCTGTTGTTGTCTTGGGAGCTACGGGGAAGACAGGCAAGGAAGTCGTCAACACTCTTCTGCGCAAGGGTGGTTACGGCATCCGTGCAGCTGGTCAGCCTCTTGTTGCTGAGAGGAGCTTGCTCTGACAGTGGGCGTCAGTGAGAGGAGAAGCGACTAAGGAGATGTTTGGAGCCTCAGAGTATCCGGCAGACGACATCGACCTGCTCACAGGAGTTGACGTGACAAAGCCTGACACCCTGACCGAGGTTCTGAACGGCTTACCATCTCTTCGTTCACCGTCTTGGAGGGCACAGGCAGCTGACTTCAACTTGCAGGCCCTGGCTGGTGCCGGCGCTGTTGTGTTTGCTAGCAGTGCGAGCCAGAAGGCAAGCATGGCGTTTGCTTGCCGCCTTGTCTGATTATCTTGGAAGGGAGGAAACGCTGAGGCGGTTGATTGCATCGGAGTTGAGAACGTTGGGCTAATCATCATTGTGCTCCCCTTCTCATATCGGCTGCGGTGCCCAGGTTGCCAAGGCCTGCATTGCTGCAGGAGTGGAGCGACTGGTGTGGACTGTAGGAAGAGCCTTGCAGTAGAGTGATGGAGGTCGCAGGTTGTCATCTCAAGCCTCGGTGTGACTCGTCCGGATTCGTTCGCTTTCAAGGTGATTCTATGGGCCTGTTGAGACAGTTTGGTTGATTTTGTTCCTTCCCAGTTCACCAACTTGTTCGGAAACATCATGGACTACAAGGAACAGGGTGAAGAGAGACTGAGGGAGATTTACAAGGGCCAGGTGCCTCCTCTAGCTTGCTCTGAGTTTGGAGCATGACGGACTTTGCAGACCAAGTGCAGCTATACCATAATCAGGCCAGGAGGGCTTCAGGTGAAACAGTCTCATGAAGACAGAACTTTGCAAGTCTGACTCTCATGTGAAAACTTGCGCAGTCTGGCAAGCCCAAGGTCTGCAAGCTCTGAATGGAGCACGTGGTCTCGTCATTAACAACACTCACAGGGATTGAACAATCTAGTGGCTGTGCAGGTATTAGAAGAATTTCTGTCCTGTCCTGTCCTGTCCTGTCCTGTCCTGTCCTGTCCTGTCCTGTCCTGTCCTGTCTTGTCCCCTCCTCTTTCCTGTCTTGTCTCCTCCTCTGTCCTGTCCTCTGTCCTTCCTGTCATTCCCTTTTGCTTCTTAACGACATCATCTCCTTCTCACCCGCCTCGACAGGGTGACACAGGATACTCCGACATCGATCGCGCAGACCTCGCAGGTGCATGCGCGACTGCTCCCCTCCTCTCCCTGCCACAACCTGCTGAGCAGCTTCGCACAGAGGTAGCTGTTGCCTCCATATTCTACCCCGAGACTTCCTTCACGACCTTCGAGGTGATCGATACCTCCATGGCGGGTTGAAAGCCTGACGTTCCTCTCTCTCTTCCTTCATCCCCTCAGCTCTACGAGCGCAATGCCAAGCCGATCCAGAAGGAGTTCAAGGTGCACCAGCAGCAGCTGACGCGTGCGGCTGTGACGGCTGTGCAGGACAGCATGTATGGGATCACAGGAGCGCACACCACAGACTGTGAGTGAGGCTGGGAACCCCGCCTTGTGTTTCCTCATGACCCCACTCCTTCAGTGCAGTACAACCCCAACACCGTCGTGTCCAACAAGGAGGTAGGAAGGGAGGAGCTTCGGGGCCATCGTGACGAGTCAGCGCAGGCAGCTGCTGCTTTCAAGGAGTTTTTCGGCAACTTGAAGAAGGACACCGAGTACGACCCCACCAACGGCTACAAGGCGCAGAAGCCTGCAAGGAGGTCGTGAGGCGGCTGGGGCTGATAGACGGCGATGACGTTGTCTTGGAGTTAGTTGTCTTTCAAGTAGATGGTCAACATAATCTCATCCCCATGCCTCTCCTGGCCATGTCGTTTAACGTCCTCGCGTAATTCTTCCTGCAGAAGAAGCAGCAGCAGCAGCAGCAGCAGCATCTGCTTCTGCTTCTGCTGCTGCTGCTTCTTCTTCTTCTGCTGCTTCTCCGTACGTCAATCTACGAAATCCATGCAGTGAGCCCCCATCACTCCCACCCCCTTCACCGGCCTTTGGAGAGGTACCCGAAATAGAGGGGGTGCCAGAAAATGTTCGCGCTGCTCCGTGTGTTCGCGCAGGGCGGGGAGGGAGGAGGAGGAGGAGGAGGAGGAGGAAGGACAAGCTTGCAGGACATGGACTGGGATCCTCTGACAACAGACGAGGACTATGCCAACATGGGCTGTATCGACGTCGTTTCCTACCAGGCGACATGGTGAGGGGCAGGGTAGTCCTTCTGCAATGTTGCGGTGACGAATGCTTTCAGGCCGTCATGGGCGGATGGTCCGGTCTACTTGCCGGTAGGAGAGGAGTTCTACTGTCCTGTGATATCAGGATAAGCACTTGCTGCCTTCTCGTGCTGTTGGAGGAGGAGGTCGGAGAGCAGCGCGTCCTAACCTCTTGCTGTGACGATCAAATGGAAGGGTTTTGATGCCCGCGCTGATTCGTCGCTCCTCCGCCTCGTCGCCACGTCCCACATCATCCTGTGCATCCTCTCCGCATCCTTAATCCAGGTCCTTGAGAAACGTCGTGAGAAGGCGCGAGAGATGTTGTGAGGGGGGAAGAGCGAGAAATGGAGGGAGGGAGGAAGCGGGGGGAGGCAGGCGGGGAGGGAGGGAGGGAGGGAGGGCAGGTGGCAGGAGATGGTAACAGGGCAGGAAAGGGAACTTACTGAGTATCGAAGAGAGGAGATTGGTCGAGGAGCCTGACGAGTCGGTCTCTTGCTACCCTTTGCTTTGTCGTGTTGGCGCAGAACGTCTGGATGATGTCCATGTAATCGCCTACATCTCTGGCGAGAAACTCGACCTGGAACCAGTGAGGAGGATCTCAATGCTCCCCGCGCTCACCATGCCGAGGACATAGAGGAGCGCTGCCGAAACACGAGCTTGCATCTTCTCCTGCAGCAAAGACCGTCAATATCTCACGGTCAAGGTGTCGACAGGAAGACAAAGACTCTTGAGATATGTACACTTGTAGAGATCTAGTGGATGCTACATAAGTTAATCCTCAACATCATCCTCATTCTCCTCCTCCTCCTCCTCCTCCTCCTCCTCCTCCTCCTCCTCATCATCATCATCATCATCATCATCATCATCATCGTAATCTTCTTCATCATGGACATTTTCATGTCGTAACTCCCGTACATGCGGAAGAACGACCACAGGTAGTCCTGCCCACAGAGAGTCGACAGCTGTGCTGTGCGACGAAACCTTCCACGTGTCAAGGAACAAGCTGAGAAGGCAGTCAGAGGAGCTCCAGCAATCGCAGAAAGCGGAGAGATGCTTGAAGTGAAGAGCACGGAGGAGGAGGAGGAGGAGGAGGAGGAGGAGGTGGTGGTGGTGGTGGAGGAGGAGGAGGAGGAGGAGGAGGAGGAAGGAGAAGGAGGAGGAGGAGGAAGAGGAGGAGGAAGAATGCTATCTCACGTGAACTGAGAGTGACGGGCGATGTGCTCTTCTTTCTTGACCGGTAAAGCTGTGATCTGGAAAAGGACGAGATCGGTTGGCAGAGCGCGAGGGGCAAAGGAGGGTCTACCATCCTATCCTTGGAGATTCCGAACCTTGGAGGAGAGTGTGAGCGAGTGTTGGAGGGAGAGGGGTGGAAGAGGAGGAGAGAGGGAGGGAAGAAGTGGGAGAGGGAGGAAAAGAGGGGGGAGGAAGAAAAAACAAGAGGAGGGAAGGAGAGAGGATGTGGGGGAGGGAGGACGAGGGGTTTTCACTTCACCTTTCTGCATACTGGGCCAGCCTTGCATTCGCTCGCATTCCTTCTCGGCCTTGAAGGAGGACCTGATGGGAATTTCAACTTGCAACGTCAAGATTGAACAATATCATCCTCTACCAGCATCGAGCTCGGGATTTTCCTCATTACCTGCATCCAGGTTGCAAACAACCTGGAAAGCAGAGTGAGCCGGGAAAGTGTGTGCTGCGGTTGTTGTTGTGGTGGCAGTCATGATTTTGATGGTTGTGTCTGCTCTTGCAGCACCTCTCGTCAAGTTTGTAAAGATTGTTCAAGCTCGCAAACACAACAGCTTCTTTGGACGTCTTGTCTTGTTTCACACTCGCGCTGCTCAGCTTCTGGTTCGCATACGCCAATCTGACCGACGGGAAAGTCACTCACACAGCAGTGACAATTGTCAGCCCTCCTTGTCACCTGTGACTGTTCACTAAGTAGCTGTTGGGCATGTACGCCAGGAACTCGCTGTAAAATCCTGTGCAGCACGTCAAGAGAAGGGAAAGGGGAAGGGGAGAGCAGCAGGCGATTCGGTTACCGCGGTAGTCCGGAGGGCTAGTGATCTTGTCGGAGACGTGAAAGTCTGAGGGAGACAAGGGTGGAGGATGAGCAACTGAGAGTGTTGTAGAACGAGCAGCAGGAGACAGGAGGAGATGGAGCCCCTGTGTGCCTTGGCAACGGAAGAGACCAGACAGACAGGGGGAGAGCAGGCTGGTGAAGCTTTCAGAGGCATCGTAGGAGGGAGAGGAGAGTGAGGAGAGAGGATTGAGGATCAGGAGGAGGAGGAGGAGGAGGAGGAGGAGGAGGAGGAGGAGGAGGAGGAGGACACAGCGAAAGAGGAGAGAGAGGAAGTAGAGGAGGGAGAGGAGAAGGGACGAGGAGGAAGGGAGGTGAGGGCGGCGGGGGGCTAAGGGGAGACGAAGGATTTCGACAAAGTAACAGACCGATATGAGGAGAGCCTGTGGTGCTGCACCATCTGAAAACAACCACAACATTTCATCAGCTCCTGTTCCCCTCCCTGACCCTCTCGAGAGGTTGCTGCTCCCCGTCCTTTCCCTCCCTCCACTCTCCATCCTCCCTCCTCCCTCCTCCCTCCTCCTCCTTTCCACTGTCCATCCGTCTCATTCCTTCCTTCCTTTTTCCTCCTCCCTCCTCCCTTGCAGCAACGATGGCCCGACCTGTGGTTGATCTGGACTGGAGCTGCTCGGTACCTGCAAGGAGCGAGTGAGCAACTTCGGCGACGTCTCGAGCGAGAGCGCACGCTGCGATGGCGTTCCTGGCCTTCTCGAGGAATCCGAACAAGTTGACCAGGATGTGCGTCCCGGCCCTGTTGATCTTTCCGGCAACCCGCTCGTCGTCGTCGCTGCTGACCTGTCAAAACCCGTCAACGGCTGTCAAATCCTCGATGGCTCCAACGTCCACGAACGTCTGGCACCCTCTCTCAGCCAGCATTCTCAGTGAGCTGCTTGCCCATTCAGCCGATGAGTCACATCGGGTCAAAGTCAGACCTGCGAGGCTTGTCAACCTGCGAGGATTCTCCTTCTCACACGCCCGATGTCTGATCCCTGCTCTGCTTCTGTTTTACTTTTTGCTTTCGTTCCCTCCTTCAATCTTCTCATTTTCAGACCCTCTACTTCGAACATTCATGTTTTAATCTCTACCATTTCCTCTCTTCCTCCTCCTCCTCCTCCTCCTCCTCCTCCTCCTCCTCTGTCTTCTCTCTATCTTTCTGCCTCTGACGTCAACGCTCTCAATCTTTGTATCGCTCACCTTCCGTCCGACTTTGTTGTTGCAAAACACTTGACCTTCAAGCACAAGATCATTCTTCTACACTGCAGTTGAACTCACGAACTTCAATCTTTTCCTTTGTATGGCCAACAAACATTCCCTGCATCATCTGAGTTTGAAAATCTGTGTCAATCTTGTTCTCCATCTCAACAGCACTTTGACCTGCATCATGGGATGATTCGCAAAGTGGCCGGAAACGTAGGACACAACCAGTCGTTTCCCCCGCAGGAGTTGGAAGCTGTGCTCTCAATCAGAAGCTTTCCCCTGAGTCTATCTCGCTGCTGCTGCTGCTGCTGCTGCTGCTGCTGCTGCTGCTGCTGCTGCTGCTGCTGCTGCTGCTGCTGCTGCTGCTGCTGCTCCCCTGACACTCCATCCATCCTTCTCCTCCCTCTCCACCACCTCCATCTCCATCTCCAATTTTCCCCTCTTCCTCCTGCCCCCCTTCAACCTCCTCCACCTGTGCAGTGCAGAGGGCATCGGAACGATCTTCTTGTGCTCGATCGCCATTTCGGCTCTTGCAATCAAGAGGACGAGATCTTTTGCATGACAATCGCAAACTTCAGATGCCATCAACAAGGGAAAACCAAAAAGCTCCACAAGTAAGATTAACGACAAGAACAAAAGACAAGTCGCTAAAGATCAGGGCAACCTGGGGGCAGGTCAGCAACCAGCGCGGCAGTCCCTGCGATCTCATCTCAGCCCTCTGCCATCGCCATTGTCGTCGTTTCTCTTGTACCGGCGTTGAAGCACAGCTTGTCCTTGGTCGATCGCTCCGGAGACAAGAGCGAGGCAGTCGCGCGTTCGAAGAGGAGTTTGACAAGGAGCTTGTCGTCTCTCAGAGGATGGTTCCACAAACAGATGTTGTCCAATGCCTGTTTTTGAGTGTGATGAGTTTGAAACAGCCCTGTCTCACCAACCTTCATCATCGCGCAGAAGGCCTCTTCTGTGAACTCAATCTGCATTGATTGTGTTGACATCCATGCCGCTTGTTCCCAGCTTCTCTCCATCGCATACAACCCTGCCATATTTGCGGTAATATCCACCTACAAGGAAGGAACTGATCAGAAAGCCCGCAAACGTCAACTCGAACTCTTCATGCGATAATTCAGAATCACTTAGAAGAAGATTCTCTGACAGCCACACGTCCTACCTGTCTCGGAGACAACCTGTATGCAGTTCGGTACATCCTCCACACCGTCTTCCAGTCCCCCTCCGTCTCATCCAGGTGCTCTTGCTCGCTCTTCATCACGTTCCCCAAGTTGATCCATGCTTGCATCAGGCTCGAGTCGAAGGTCAAGGACCTCTGCAGGAACAGCTTCGCGCTACTCATGTTCCCTCCGATCGCAAACATGTAGCCGAGGTGTCCCAGCGCCACTGCATGGTTGGGACAGCCGTCAACTGCCTCTACGAGTAGCTTGAATGCTCCATCAGCGTCTCCCTTAGATCCTCTCTCCACAGCTCGCTGGACTAGATCGTCTGCAGCCCTGCAGCCATGCTGGTTGCTTCTGGCCGAGGATACGAGGGGAGGTTGCTGGAACATGTAACAGTCAGCCAACGGTGTCACCGAGATTCAACCACCTGTAGCAGAGCTAGCCCTAGGATGAAGACGACGATACTGCCGTTCAGTTTGCGCATGTCAGGACAGGATCACTGCCGTGGCGAAGACCAAGTCGTCAATCTCCCGCTTCCGGCCATCTCCCTTGGTTCAGTGCTCCTTCTCGTCAGACCCTTTCATGGTCGCCTTGAGGAGCATATGGACCATCTCCTCGTCTTCGTCTTCTCCTCACCAACGACGTCTGCATCCTTTTGTTTGCCAACCATAATGCCGTGATGCTTCATCCTCCTCCTCTCCTCCTCTCCTCCTCCTCTCCTCCTCCTCCTCCACCTCCTCCTCTTCCTGCATTCTTCGCCTCATCTTTATCTATCAATCGTCAAGCCATGGTCGCATCCTAGGCCACCCCCACCCTGTCAGTTGCCATCCATGAACACCACACCCACAACCAATTTTCGAACATCTGTGCTTGTACGTGAAGGTATGCGTTTTTATAGGTAAAACCATGAGTAAAATGGAAATACCTTGTTACTTTGTCCAAATAGTACCCCTACCCCCCATTTCGAGCCAAACCCCTACGACCTTGCCCACCCAGCATCATCGCTTACACCCCACCCTCCACATATAAGCGAGGGCATGTCGAGGACAGCCGGAGCGATCTTGCGGTGGAGGAGGAGGAGGAGGAGGAAGAAGAGGGAGCAGGAGCAGAACAAACATGGGAAAACCAGACAACCAGAAGGGGGGAAGGGAGGGAGAGCGGGAGGGAGGAAGAGGGAGATGGAGAGATGGAGAGATGGATAGAGCGAGGGAGCAATTCAAGGATAGAGAAACCTGCAAGAGTTAGCTTGTTGACAGCGCTAAGAACACTGAAAGTCGACCAGCTCTTGACTTTCTAGCTTGCACAAGACCATGAATCCCAGACACTGACAGTCTTCATGTCAACACAAATCGCTGATGGGTTTCTTATGTTCAGGGCCAGGATCACCACGAATCCTGGTCGAGTTTCAGCACTGTTCCAAGAAGTACAATGTCGAAGTTGTTTCTGTTCTTGACTTGCCTTCTTGTCTTGTTCTCATTTTCGCTCTCGTTCAATGTCCTCCTGAACGACGTGAGGGCCTTTTCCTCCCCTACCAGGTCGCGCATGCATGTTTCATGTTCTAAGATGGACATTTCGATGACGATGATGACGAAGGCGATGATTGTTTTGTTGATGAGGATACTAGTGGAGATGCTGGTGCTGCTGCTGCTGCTGGTGGTGGTGGTGGTGGTGGTGCTGGTGGTGGTAGTGATGGTGCTTGTCCTTCTGCCGCTTGTTCCGCTTGTGCTGCTAGTATTAGTGATGATGAATGTGTTGATAATTATGATGATGACAACGAGGGTGATGAAATGACGACGATGACGATGACGATGATGATGGAAGTTAAGGATTATCTTGCAGCTTTTCCGCACATCACAAGCATCAATGGAACGGACAGAGCAGGAGGAAGTTTTCTGTCTCTTGTAAGATTGGCTCTACAGTGAGAGGGACTGAGTTGAGGTTCCCAGGCCTTCAGATGTCGGAGGAGAAGTCGTCAGAGCTCATGGACGTCATCGATGAGGAAGGGAAAGACTCCAAGTCTCCTGAGGCTGTAGGGCGATTCCGTCAGAGGAGGCAAGCAGTTGCATGGCTGGCGGCCCCTTGTGAACGATGTAGAGCAGGGCGATGAAGAAGTCAAGCTCTAGCTCGGTTTCGAGGTCTGGGACGATGGAGGGGATGAGGGGCAGTTCTCACGCTAATACCAGTGAGCTTCGTTTCAAGCTGCTGGAGGAGCAGGCGTCTCCTCTGAGAAAGTTCCGACAGTTCTTCTGTGAGAGACTTGAGATGTTCTCTCCCCTGCTCTGTTCTACCGTCCTCCTCCTCCTCCTCCTCCTCCTCCTTCTCCTCCTCCTTCTCCTTCTCCTCCTCCTTCTCCTCCTCCTTCTCCTCCTCATCACCGTCTTCGATCTCTTGCGCTCTCCTCCTGTGTCTTTCTCCTCAGCATGATATCCTCGTCCCCAATCTCTCCCTTCATCTCCCCTTCCTCGGTCTTCTGTATATCGCATCTGATCTCGTTACTCGTTATTTTCCCCTTCTCACACTCCGCAGATGCCGCTGCATGTATTTCTGCCTCTCTTGGAACTCTGATCTCCGGTGCTCGAATCTTTGCTGCACTTCAGGTTGCTCTCCTCCTCCTCCTCCTCCTCCTCCTCTTCCTCCTCCCCCTCCTCCTCCTCCTCCTCCTCCTCCTTTCTTCTCCTCTGTACTACCCTCTCTCCCCCTCTCTCCCCCTCCTCCCTCCTCTTCTCTACCTCTCCCCTCTTCATCTCCACTCCTCTCCGCTCATTTCTCCCTTCCTTCTTCCCTCTTCCCTCTTCCCTCTTCTCTGTCCCTCTTCCTCTCCCCTCTCGACCTTGTCCCTCCTCGTCGCCTGACGTGCAGCAGGGCATCCAAGGCGTTCAACCCCTCTCCGAGTCCTCGACCAACACAGCCATCAACCTCGGAGTAGTCGTTACCTCCGCCGCCTTGTGGATCTGGGAGGATGGCAAGGGCAAGGTACAGCTGCTGCTGCTGCTGCTGCTGCTGCTCCTCCTCCTCCTCCTCCTCCTCCTCCTCCTCCTCACTTCTCCTTCCACTTCTCATCCTCCTCCTTCGCCTCCTTCACCTCGACCTCGACCTCCTCCTTTCCTCATTTTGCACCAGCTGCTTTATCTCGAGCTCCTCGAGCTCCTCCAGCAATTTGCTGCCCTCCTATTCCAGTTCTCCTTTCCCCTACGTGCTCTTGTGTTCCTTTCGTCTTTCACTCTTGCATTCTCCTTCGCTTCCCCTTCCACTTCTTCTCCTCGTCTCCTTCAAGATTCTCCGTCTTCGCTTCTTCGCTGCCGTTGACGTGCAAGCAGGAGACTCTCAAGCTGCTGCAGGACAAGAGCGGGATGAGGGAGAAACTCGCGAACCTCAACCTCGAGCTCGCGGATGGAACTTTGAAGACGATGAGAGACATGCGAGATGAGAGCAGGTAGAGGAGGGAGAGGAGGGAGAGGAGGAGAGGAGGAGAGAGAGGGAAGGAGGGAGAGGAAGGACGGAGGGAGAGGACAGAGAGGGGGAGTAGGGAGCGGGAGGAGAGAGCGGGAAGGAGGGAGGATGAGGAGAGGAGTAAGGGAGAGAGGGAGGAGACAAGAATGGAGAGGAGAGGACAGGACAGGACAGGACAGGACAGGACAGGACAGGACAGGACAGGACAGGACAGGACAGGACAGGACAGGACAGGACAGGACAGGACAGGACAGGACAGGACAGGACAGGACAGGACAGGACAGGACAGGACAGGACAGGACAGGACAGGACAGGAAGAGGTCTGGGTGCAGAGGAGAGAGAGCGTAGAGGGAGAGATCAAAGAGAGGGAGTAGGGCAGGAGGAGGGGGCGGGTAGGAGCGTTTCCTTGTCCTCTTCTTATTCTTTTCTCTCAGGCTTGTTATCCTTGCTGGGACTGCTGCAGAAGTCACTCGATGTATCAATCTCGCCGGGAACTTTGCTGAGGTACAGGCCAGTTGCCTGTTGATCCATTACAATCCTCGTGCTCGTCCTCGTCCTCGTGCTCGTGCTCGTCCTCGTGCTCGTGCTCGTGCTCGTGCTCGTGCTCGTCCTCGTCCTCGTCCTCGTCCTCGTGCTCGTCCTCGTCCTCGTGCTCGTCCTCGTCCTCGTCCTCGTCCTCGTCCTCGTGCTCGTGCTCGTCCTCGTCTCCATTTTTCTTTCCTTCTCCTAATTTCCCCTTTGCTGCTCTACTTTTTCTATCTCCACATCCCCCCGTCTCCCTCCTCCGATCTCTCCACTCCACCTGCTCCCTTCCTCTCCCTCCCTCCCCGCTCCGATCTCTCCACTCCACCTGCTCGCTTCCTCTCCCTCCCTCCTCGCCCGCTGCTCCTGCTCCATTGGTCTCACGGTCTGCCCTAAAGGAGCTCAAGAAGAACGACGTCAGCGTCGTCCCTGTCTTCACTGACCTCAAGGACGACTCGGCCGGTTGGAAGGTGAACCTGCAGCAGTGCCTGCTCCTTGCTACCTCCCCGTGCTGCTCCTGCTCGTGCTCCTGCTCCTGCTCCTGCTCCTGCATGCCATTTTCACTTCCCCTCCTCCTCCCCTATCTGGCTTTCTGCTTACCCTCCACCAGGCCATGAAGGAGAGCAGCTCTACCGGTCAATGGGATCCTTTTCTCATCCGCCCACAGCAAGTTGAGGACTGGACCAATTGGCTCCAAAGGTGCCCTGCTGCTGCTGCTGCTGCTGCACCCCCTCGTCCTCGTCCTCGTCCTCGTCCTCGTCCTCTACCTCTACGTCTTCCTCTACCTCCACCTCCTGCTTCACCTCTGCTCTTTACCCTCTGGTAGCGATCGCCGCTCTCGTAGCAATAGCCTTTTATTCCCTGAACCCTCACTAAAACTCTTCCTCTAGTGAAAGGGCCTTAGCAGCTGAGAGGAGGAAAGAGGCCATTCCGGTTGAGAAGGTGATACTAGAAGACGCTGCTACTGCTGCTGCTGCTGCTGCTGCTGCTGCTGCTGCTGCTTGCACCCGTATATCTCCTCCTTTCATCTCCTCCTTACATGCCGTGCATAGGATCGCTTCCTCCGTGTTTTTATCGTGCGCAAGGACGGCAAGGTGAAGCGAAGGGAGGGAGAGGGAGGGGGAGGAAGAGATGGATGGGATGAGAGTGCGGATGAGGGTGAGGGCGAGGGTGAGGAGGAGGAGGAGGAGGAGGAGGAGGAGGAGGAGGAGGAGGAGGAGGAGGGTCAGGAGCGAGGAGACGATGAGCAGCAAAGCAGTGCAGGAAGATGTTTAGAATGAGACAAGAGGGATCAGATTTGAGGGTAGGAGGGGGAGAGGATGGAGCATAGAGGATACAGAGGCTGCAAGAATCAAGGCACTGACGGAGGAGCAGGTCGGAGCGAGGACTGTTGGCCCGCCATCATGGCCGAAGCTCATCAAGCAGATTCAAGCTCTTCCTCTTACCGATCAGTACGGCACTCCTTGACCTGCCCCAGTCTCCGTTGCCATGCCCTCGCTCGCTCGCTCGCTCGCTCCCCATCACCTCACATCTTCTTCCTCCTGCTCCTGCTCCAGCGCTTCTCTTTCTCACACGGGGATCGTTTTCACATGTGATAATAATAAGAGGAGGCTCAAAGAACAATCTCTTGCTCCTCATTCTCCATCGCGTCTTTGATCAACGCCTCAATCTCCAGGTTCCTAGCCTTCTTTGCAATCTTCTGCTCAACGTATCAGCTTTCCTCCTCCTCCTCCTCCTCCTCCTCCTCCTCCGTCCCCGTTCTTCGCACTCTCCCTACCCTCCTTCCTCTCTTGCAAGCGGGGGGATACCAACCTGTGCAGTGAGCCCATCTTCATCCTTCGCCTCTAACCTGCGAAAAATTGCGTCATCTCCTTTTCCTGTATGCCTCCTCCCCCTCCTCCTTCCCTATTCTCTTCCTCTTCCTCCCCCCCCCTCCCCCCTTTCTGTTCTGCTCCACCTCAGGCCCGAGGAAGCAAGCAGCAGCGCACGGCAGGAGGCGACGTCTCCGTTCTGAGCTGCGAAGTGGAGGGGGGAGCAGCCCCTGCGATTCTGACAGTTGACGTCAGCGTTGAGGTCGAGCAGAAAGTCGACGATCTTGGCAGCAGACGCGTCAGGCGCCAGCCCCTCCTCCTCCCACATCCTCTTCATGTGGATGGTCTCCTCCGAGCACAGCAGAGCGATCTGATCAATCCATGCTCGCCGCGCAGCCTCGGACGGGGCGGACAAGACCAGCATGTTCCCTCCTCCCTTCTCCCTCCTTGACAGGAAGAAGCTGTGCCGCTGCTGGAAGCTGCTGGGCATCGCACCCACCTTGTTCCCCGCTATGACCCTCCTCGCTTCGGGGGGTTCTCCACGCTCGAACCTGCGCTTCGATCTAAAGGAAACCAGCTCGAGGCTGTCAAAGAGCACGAAGAATCTCCGGTGCCACACAGCCACTCCCTCCTTCTTCCTCCTCACGCACAGTGTCCCGCTCATCCTCTTCCTCCCCGTGCTCCGCTCCCTCCTCCTCATGTCCACTTGCGGGTTCGTCCTCCCTAGCAGATAGTCTTCGATTCCCACCCGCTTCCTCCCTGCTTCCTTCCTTCCTCCTCTCCCTTTCCCCTGTTGCATCTCCTGCACGCTGCCGTCCGACCATCCCGCACTCCCCGCCACGCTGCTCGTGTCGGAGATGAATCCCTCGGTGACGGAGGAGGAGGTTTCATCGTCGCACATCCGCATCCTCTTTTCCAGCTCCATCAGCAGCCACTGCTCGTCCACGGGGGGCAACGGGACCTCCAGGTCCAGCAGCACGTTGGGCAGGTCCTGCATCTGCTCTGCTAGTTTGCCGAAGAAGGCGAAGTGGAGCAGGCAACGGTCTGCTGCTGTCAGCGATGAAGCCGATCCTCCTGATGATCTCTCGCTCTCTCCTCCCCGTTCCTCTCTCCCCGTCTCCCCTCCTCGGGCTGACTGTCGGCTTGTTCCGCTCCTGCTGGACAACTTGGAGCTGCTCGAGCGACGCGACGACGCCTGTGAGAGCGAGTCGCTAGCTCGTGCATGCTTCTCGCTCCTCTGCGACCTGGTATGCGAGGATACACTCCCTCCTCCTCCTCCTCCTCCTCCTCCTCTCGAGGAAACGCTGTTGTTGCTTCTTGACGAGCTTCTCCAATCATCGTCTCTTCCGTTACCAAGTTTGTTGTTGAGGTGACCATTCTTTGATTCCTGTTGCTGTTCTTCCTCCTCTTCCTCTCCATGGTCCACGTCCTCGTCTTCATCCTCCTGCTGCTGCTGTCCTCCGTTAGCCCGTGCAGCATGCCTGGGCTCACGCCGCAGCGAAATCTGCAACAAAAACTCAGACGACTCCATCCCCTCCTCAACTTCATCCTCCTCCTCCTCCCCCACTCGCCATTTCCTTTGTTCCGTTTTTGCTCCCAATCCCTCAACTCACCGCCATCTCCTTCCATTGTCCCTCCACCTGCCGCAGCAGCCCGAGCCGAAGCACGGTCCCTCTCTTTCCCAAGATGCGGGGAGCGACTTGGGAAATGCTTTTCCTGTACACCTCCTCCTCCCCGATCCTCTTCAGTATGTCCCCGACCTGCACGTTCCCTTCCCGTCCTGCCGGGCTGTCCTCGTGCACGTGCACCACCCGCACTGTCCTATCGGAGTACTCCTGGAGCACAATTCCAACGCCACACGCTTCCTCCTGGATGGCTCCTCGACTATTCGCCTTCCTCCTCCCGTTCATAGAGACCTCCTCCTCCTCCTC